GGGGAGAGGGGAGAGAGGGGAGGGGGAGAGGGGAGAGGGGAGAGGGGAGAGGGGAGGAGGGGAGGAGGAGAAAGGGGAGGGGGGAGAGAAGAGAGGGGAGGGGGGAGGGGAGAGGGGAGAGGGAAGAGGGGAGAGGGGAGAGGGGAGAGAGAGGAGAGAGAACACCAAACCAGAATGAAAAGTAAGCATAGTCCCCAATGAGAACATTAGAGATATTGGTTATACTAGGTCTGGTCAAGTCTTATTTAAGGACGCAACATTGAAATGTCTGGATTCAAAGAACACAAAAAATGTAAACAATCACTGGTAGAGGCAGTGGAACACTATGAGTTCTAGGCTAGCCTGCTCTACAGAGCGAGTTCTAGTACAGCTGAGGCTACACTAAGAAACCCTTTCTCAAAAAAACCCAAAACAGCAACAAAACAAAAAGGCTGGAAAAATAGCTCAGTGGTTAAGAAAATATATTGTTCTTACAGAGGACCAGAGTTCAATTCCCAGAACCCACATCAGCAGCTTACAACTGCCTGTTTCTCCAGCTCCAAAGGATGCCCCTAACTTCAGGCATATGCACATATGCAGACACACACATGTACACATAAATAAGTAACAGTAAGATAATAATAAAAATGAAAATATTTTGAAAAAGAATCAAATAATGAACCTAATAGCTACCAATGTACCATAAAAAGATTTTTAAAAATTAAAAAATAAAATAAAATTTCATCACTTTCAATAAGCAAAGGATTATATAATATTACAATTAATTGTATCCAAAGCTGTTCTTAATACTCCGGTATTTAATACACAGAAGTCCAATTTTCAGTGATAATTAGATGAATAAGAAACTGAAGCCCTCTAATTTATGGATACTAAGTTTTTCCTCTTTATAACATATTAGCAAGACAAAAAAAAAATTGGCAACCTAAGTTAAGGAATACATTTAAATATGTAAAACACCAGTCATAAGTTAACTTAAAAATATAAATAGTTAGTTAGAAATGTACTGGTGAATACTCATGACCAAAAAGATACTATACAGCACTTACCTTCCTTTAACTTGTTTCCAAGGATGAGGGCCACTGTTTTTCATTGCTTTCTTAACAACTTTTGCCAAAATGCAAAGAAAGATGATGTAACTGCTGCTGGATTTATACAGGTTAGGGTCTTGTTTATCACAACAGCAGTTCTTCACCAGTGTAAGCATCGACAGTGGTGACTTAATGATATTAGTAAGGCCTTTCAAAGGAAGCCAGGAAATACTGAAGGAGCTATTCTAAATGAAAAACAAACAAACAAAAGCACAATGTAGCTTTTTAAGTACAAGTTTCTTAGTAAATAAAATGAAAGCTGCGAACACCAATCAGTTCATAAGTTTGACCTGATAAAATTACAAATATATTTTATTAGAATGTAATTATCATATATACCCCAAAATTTTTTTAATTACATAAAAACAGAGAACATGAAGGGGTCTTTAAATTTTGTATTTTCCCCAAAATGTATTTTTACCACGTAATTTGTCCAATGAAGCTATGGCCCTTAAAACCTATTTTTTCCATGGTTCTCAATGTTTTTGTTATGTAATTTAATTTTTTGATAATGAGCACTTAATATAGATCTTCATTATACAAAACAATGGATTTCATTATGACATTTTCACACGTGTATAGCATGTTGTATTGGTTATAATTCTATCACTGTGACAAACACTAGGCAAGTTGTGGAAGGAAAGTCTTACTTGGCTTATGGTTCTAGAGGATAGGTATCTACCATGGCAGAGAAATACGACAGCAAGCAAGCAAGGTAGCTGGAGCTGCTGAACACTAACAGCTTGAACCACAAACAGGAATTAGAAGAAAACCGAAATGGTGCTTGTCTTTGAAATCTCAAAACATGTCCCTTAGTAACAAACTTCCATCAGTAAGACCGCACTTCTAACCCTATCCAAACAGCCACCAACTGGGAAACTAGTATTTAAATGACTGAGAATATGAAGATATTTCTCATTTAAACGACCATATTGGTGGTCTGATCACATACTCAGTTCCCTTTACCATTCATTCTGACTAGTCACTTTGTTATCGCTAAAACTTCCTTTTATTCTGATGCTTTCATTTTGTTTTGTTTTGTTTTTCTGATACAGAGTTTCTCTATGTAGCCCTGGCTGTACTAGAACTCACTATATAGACCAGACTGGCCTCAAATTCACAAAGATTGCTTGCCTTCACCTCAAGTGTAGGATTAAAACCATTTGTCAACATGCCTGGTCTTGATACCTTGTTTTAGATAAATTTAGATACCACTTATGATAGAACATATGAGAGATTTGTCTAAGTCTAGCTTATTTCATTTACCATAACAACACTTCCAAATTATAAAAATGTTGTCCCTATGGTTGAATAAACTTCATTTTATATATATATATTTCATTTTATATATATATATATATCTCAAATTCCTTTACCCAGCTTATTTCATAAGTCATTTTTCATCAAAGGTGTATATAAGATAATTCTTGAATCTTCTCAATTGTTTATTTATTTCCCCTTTTCAACCAGGTTTGCTTGAATTGGTTTTCTATTCAAGAGTTTTTAAATGTCTTTGTTAGAGTAATTTTAAATGTGGTAATTTTTTCTCTATCTCTGCAAACTCTCAAAATAAATGAGACTATAAGATTTAATAAGCTTTACATCACAATATCTGAGTGGCTATTAATCTATTCTAATCCTCTGGGATTAGAATATACTAATCTATTCTAATGTAGCTACCTCCCAGCCAAAATCTTTGAGATACTTGCATTTCAGTATTGGTCTGGCTCTCCCTGCTCCAAGTGTGTTCCCATAGAGTCTCCTGGACTTTACTAAATGTTCTCTCTTCCCCCCTCTACTTCTATTTCTCTGTCCCCTCACTGTCCCCTTGCCAACTAGGATCAAAGTCAAGTCCTATTCTCTCTTCTGCTCAGTCATTGGCTAATCAGTTTTTATTGACAAATCAGAGAATAAATGTGGAACAATGTTTACACAACTTTGAGTTAGAGATTCTTAGAATAAGTATTACAATGCCATGTCCAGAGTGGAACCAGATATGCGGGCAGAGAAATCAGCATTTGAGTAATACAAAGATAATCTTTACACAGTGTGCAATAATATTATGCCTACATCTCTGTTTATTTTTATCCTGGTAATGAGCACTTTACTGTGCAAGTCCCTTCATGGACACCTGTGCCATTAGTATCTTCCTGTGTACCAAGTCCAATGAAGAAGAGAGTTCCTCTGTAAAGTAGACTACTTTTACCAACATGCTTATCTTTCTAGCATGCTTGAATGACCTGAATTTCATCAACACTTCGGATGGTCACAGATTAAAAACTGAGCTTCTGTCTGAGGTTTTTGCAGTATGGGAAAGATATCTTTTCCCAAATGTGAAGATGTGTACTAGGATGCTTTTACAGTTCTTGCTTTGGTAAGGTCAAAAAGAATGAACTTCATCTGGTAGCTGCTACTACTCTAGCAATGGCCACAAAAGGAAAGAATCCATTCATCTTCTTATGGATATTCATAGCTGATTCCCTAACTTGAGGATTGCAAACAGTGCTACAATGAATATGCATGTGCAAGTGTCAACCAAGCATATACATTATTCATATATATGAAAGGGAGATATATATATACACACACATACATACACATATATACATATCCCTTTAAGGTCACTTATTCTTTTTTATTTCATTGATTTTGTTCTTTGACTATTTCAGACACATATACAGTGCATTCTGGTTTATTCTCACATTTTCACTTAACATTCTTTGATGCTTATCATATCAGTAAAGACATCTTGACCATATTAAAGGTTTTGGCTGGAACTTATCACTGGTAGAATATTCATTAGAATAGCTTCTACTGCATTTCATAAAAAGAAACATATTTTCTGTGATGTGAAAGTTGATCAGATTGCTGGCCAACCCGCTGATATTCAGTGATTCCCAACAACTTCTTCTGATTAATTTTAACAAACACTAATGTTCATTGTCTAGATGTTCCACTTCCTTAAACATACAAGATGGTGATTTTATAAAATTATAGCACTTCCTAATAAATCAGTTTATTAGGACTTAGCTACTCCATGTTTTCATTCATTTCTTTTGTTATGTTGGAATTTTCATTCTCCAGGCAATGGAATTACTTGAAATTGGATTATGGCATTCTGTTAATTATTTCCCAAGCCTTCTGTGACAGAATACTCCTGACTAACATTAGACAGATTTTGTTTCAAAATCTGTCATTTTTCCAACCATCCTATACTATATTTCACACAAAATTTTCTAATTTAATAAGCTCTAGGTACAAATAAAATTTAGTATTTGCTGGAATACTCTCCATTGCCATTTTCTATCCTGAAAAAGAAGTTATCTATTTATCCCAAAATTCAAACATCCTAAGCCCGCTCTTTTTTTTGTGTTTTGTTTTTTGTTTTTCGAGACAGGGGGCCTGTGTATCTCTGGCTGTCCTGGAACTCACTCTGTAGATCAGGTTGGCCTTGAACTCCCAAATGCTGGGATTAAAGGCGTGCGCCACTACTGCCCGGCTAAACCCGTTCTTCTTACTCACAAAAGTAACTGAGGTTTTTAAATGTCATCAAATTTTTTATTTTCCTAATTCTTCCTCTCCTTTCTAAATCCAATTTCTCTTAGCCATATTATTTGTGTACATTACTACTACTAATTCACCTGTACCTTATTTATTTACATAAACCACATTGTCAAACATATTTGATGTCACATTGGAGGTATCTAATATTTTCTGAGTTAACTTGAATTCAGTTCTCAGCTCTTCAGGTTACCAGTCTATCAGACTTATGTACCATCTCTCTAAGTCATTCTATTCCCTTCAGAAGCACCACAGAGGAATGAACAATGCCCGCTTAGATCTCCATGTATACTGCACCTTCAGCCCAGACCCTTCTACAAAGACCCAAAGATCAAGTTAAAAGTTCACAATCTTCTATGTTCACTAGAAGGATAAAAAACTCTGACCTGTGTTACATGATATTTTAATTTTTTCCTTACCAGTGTGTCTATAATATATGTAGTTTAAAGATTACTCAGGTACTGAGATTGATTCTTATTGTGAACAACAGTGAATATTAACTGTATCAAAGCCCAAACATTATACTATAATAAGTGAGAGGAGCTGGAGAGATGGCCCAGTAGTTAAGAGAGTACTGTCTGATCTTCCAAAGGACCCAAGTTCACTTCCCAGCACCCACATGGTGACTCACATCATCTCTAACTCTATTTCCAGAGGATATGGTGGCTTCTTCTGGCCTCTGAAAATACTGCACACACATGGTGCATAAATATATATGCAGACAGAATACCCATACGCATAAATAAAAACTAAAAATTTTTAAATGTTCAAGTTTAAAATTTATTTTTTAATTTATAAAGATTTGAAATGTGTATGATCGTATACTTCTAGTTACTTTGCTTACCCATCCAAAAGAGAAGAAACACTAAATGCTGATCCCATATGCCAGTTTCTACAGACAATGTTTATGAAAGATAAAATACTTACAAGCTACATCCTACTCCAAACAAAAAACAGTACTTAAAAAATTCATATTTCTCACAATTAAATCATAAGATGCCCCTCAAATATTATAAATTTCAAATTTTTGGAGCAAATCCATATTCTGTTTACTTACCAGGTTCTTACAATAATACTCCCATAAAATGGTTACAACTGAAATATTTGGCTCCCAGAAATCACAAAGTGTCAAACAACAATGAAGATGCATTCGTAACTGTTCTTCTACTATACTTTCCTAAAAAATAAAACTGAAGTCATAAAGCAGTAGATGGTTCTGGTAATGTGATTGTCATTTGATAATGTACTGAACTACATAGCACTAAAAAGATGAAGAATATGTATCTACAAATCATGGCTTTTTACAACCTTCAGAATACAAGATCTGAACATAAAACAAAACTCACTTGGAGACCACAAGCATATTCAGATAATGGAAAGTTTATAATTCAGTTATTTAAAAACAAACAGATGTCTGGAAACTGATATCAGAAACCCAAAGAACAAAAATGGAAATAAAACTAAAGGAATATGAAATGATATAACAATTAAAATGTACAAAAATTCAGAAAGTTGGGTCATCTTAAGAATTTAAGCAAATTCTTTCAAAGAACTATATTTGCTCTTAAGAAAACCACAGGATTAGTACTAGAAGTAGTAGAGTTACTACTAACATTCAGGAGGGTCTAGTACCACTAGGGAGGGAGGGGAAGAGGGAGGGGAGGAGAGGGGAAGGAAGGAAAGGAAAAAAGGAAGGAAAGGAAGAGAGAGTGGGGAGGGAAGGAAGGAAGGAGCGAGGGAAGAAAAGAAGGGAGGGAGGGAGGGAGGGAGGGAGGGAGGGAGGGAAGGAAGGAAGGAAGGAAGGAAGGAAGGAAGGAAGGAAGGAAGGA